AGTGTGTCTTCCCCACCAGCACCTTCCTAATCCAGGCCCGTGTGTTACACCTGGATACTGTGTACCGTCCTGCTAGTCTCCCACTTTCGGCTCTCTCCCCATTTTACCCTTTACTTTTCTAGTCTGCCATCTCGCTTGACATTAAATTAACTACACAATCACAATAACAATGTTCAAAGCACCAGCTTCTTTTCTTTTCTTTTTTTTTTTTTCAAAGTCACAGAGATCCACCAGCCTCTGCCTCCTGAGTGCTGGTCAAGTCTTATGTTTTAAAGATAAGCACTAGCTGAGATATGTCCAGTATCATTGTTAAACTCTTATAGGTTAACCACATACCAAGTGCCCCTGATGCTCACAATCTCATGAAAGAAGAAACATGTCATAGAGTAGGTTAGATGGAGACTCAGCCATGGCCACTGTGACAGAAGCCTGTGTACCTCTCTATCTCCTCCCGCCTGCTGTTCACGGGGACCAAGATACAGGATGAGCAAGGACAGGCACAGAAGCAGCATCCTTGTCCTCTTACACTGCAAGTGGAGAGGGAGACAGAGTATGAAAACTTCCAGGCAGGGTAACAAATGCTGCTCTGCATACATGTCCCCGGTGAAGAGGGGACAGGGCTGGAAAACTGCAAGGTTTAGCTGCTGGGTCATGGAGATGTGGCCTGATGTGAGTCTCGAAGAATGGGCGAGAACTTTTTAAGAGGAAATCCATGCAAGGAGCATACTATCCTGCAGGCTGGATGTGTAGGAAGAACAGAAAATGTGTAGAAAGGCACAAAGACCCCAGGTCCATGGACAGGGTGTTTACACCTGATCTCTAGCAGAGAGGTGCTGGGGTTCATGGGAGATTTGTAGTCAGGAGACACCTAAGTCTGTGCTCAAGAAGGGTCACAACATCAGCAGACTCATCAGTGCTGACTGGAGGAGCCACAGCCTGTTGGGTCAGTCATAGAGACAGTCATGGGACACCAGTTATAGAGGCCAGACAAGGCAGGCAGGCTGGGGTGTGTTCGTGAGCACAAGACAGGAATGGCAGATGATGCGAAGGGGAAGGGTGGTGAGTTTGACTAGCCATGTGGTGAACTTGAGAATTTCCCTGGTGCCTGTAAGCAGCCGGGTGATGGGTCTGTAACCCAATAGAGCAGTCTAGAGGGAAGCCGTAGGAATTCTCCTCCCCTTTCTAGTTCATTCAGACAGGGTTCCACAGATCATGGTGAGAAAGCAACCACAGGCCCTCCCAGCCTTAAATCCTGGTCAACCTCCTCCTTGCACTCACAGCCCCCTAAAGCCGAGCCTTGACTGGGGTGACTGGAGAGCTCATGGTAGAGAGACTTCAAAGGTGGGCCTAGGAAAGTTTGTGGTTATTTTTCAGGTCAGTGGGTCAGCAGATGGGAGATGAAGAGGAAGTGGCAGTGTTTCCGAGGCAACTTCTCTGCTCATACTTCCTTCTTTAATCTTCTCTTGTTACAACTTGGGGCAAAAATAAGCTAACTTCTGTGCAGAAAGAAAACCCTGGGTGCACACATCTTCTATTTCTCTTCTCTCGGTGCACACTGAAATTCAGCATGGACAATCTAATTGCATACCGTGCTTATGTTTTGTTATGGTCTCCCTTTGCTCAGGGGCATGAAATGGCTCCTCTTTTCCCTCTCAGAAGAAGGTTGAAGCCTCACTCTACACCTAAGGGCCTGTGTTGTCTAGCACCGTGCTAGCTGGGGGCTTGGTCTTCTCTCTCTAGGTTTCTGTCCTCATTGAAGCTCTCACCCTGCACTTGCAGGGAATTCTACGAACACTGAGCGGTTGTGGCCTCACTCTCCTTCCCTTGTCCCCTGTAGCCTGCTCTGTAGCCCCATGCCTACCTAGTTCATACCTCCTCCCTGAGGGGAACACTTACCATGGGTGTGAAGACCAGCTCACAGCAAAGCTTGTCACCATGACCATGTTTATTATGAGGAATTAACCATTGACAGTAGCAGATCATCTACAAAGAGGGGCTCCCGTCCAAAGAAGTAACAAAGAATGTTAGTCAAAGCCAAGACCCACCAGGCTGCTTCTCTCGTACTTGCATCATCCCCAAGAGGCCTGCCTGGTGGCTAGAGGCTGAGATGGGACAGGAAGCTGCTCTGCTCAGTTGCTGGCTCACGGTGCTGTCACTGTCCCCCAATACTGGGCTTGACTTCCAGCTGTGAAGAGTGTGTACAGATCTCTCCACATGCTGTAACTTGGAATGGGTGACCCTGGACATATTATCGGATCAGGGATGGTAGGATGATGGCATGTACTCAAGACACACTGGCTGGACATATGGTGAGAGGTATTTCTAGGCCACGTCTTGGTGTCGTGCTGTCTTCCTGTCTCATGGCTATCATGTCCTCTTTGGGCCATATTTAAGAATACCAAGCATTCACACCTCCTCCTCCTGCCTCTCCCAGGCCATTCTTCAGGGCACAGATGTTTTTAGGGGTGATCATTTTGGGCTTGATTATTGTTTTTCACCCTAAAGAGTCATGTTCCTCCAGAACTAAATTACAAAAGAATACCTTACCCACTAGGTTCCATGTTAATCAAATTCCCTCCAATCCACAGAATCTTTCTGGTTTCTTCAGATTCCTATCCCATTTCTGGATGCTTCTGAGATCTTCCACTTTCCTTGCCTCTAGAAGTGATCCTAATAAGGTCTGTGGGGTTATGGGAGTGACTCAAGATACCCGAGTCCTCATAGATACCATGTGGCCTTTGTCCAATTTCTTCCTTTTCTGTGTTGGTTACATTTGGTCCTATGGAGGCTCCTCATCACTCTGCTACAAGAAAGGGGTCCTCTTCCATATCTGATGTTGCTTTAGGTGGGTGGTCATCAGAGTTGCCCTGGAATGGGCTTACAACTGAGGCCATTACAGCAGAAGAGAATGTCCATCACCTCACTCTTCCATCCTCTTCAAAAGCTTTGTGTGTGAAGGACACTTTCACTTTTGTCCATGTGTGCCTTCTTCCTGGTACAGATGAGTCTTTTCAAGATACACTCCCACATAGAAAGATACAGTGCTGCACAGAGGCTTCGGTCCTTCACTCAGGTCCACTCCTCCTCATTGCTCCATGGCCAGTGCCTGTTCATCATCTCACTGCCCTGAGGGTTCCTTTGAGTAAGTGATCAGCGCCAGTGACAGACTCTGGAAATGAGTAGTCAGCTGGGAAAAAAGCCTGGAAGCAAAGTTTTTTGTTTTGTTTTTTGTTGTTGTTGTTGTTGGTTTTTGTTTGTTTGTTTTTTGGTCAGGGTGTCAAGACTCACGGATACAAAGCAATCTCTTTACAAACCTAACTGGCATCAAGCTGGAAAGCTATCTTCCACAAGCCCTGACTGTGCGCTCTTCCGTGTTGAAGGCTGTCCAGCAGAAGGCTCAGTCAAGCATGTGTTACAACTCCTCCAGTTCCCTAGTGGGAGTTAAGGAATAAGAGGAACACAGAGTGATTGCAGGGCTGAAGGGCCCAGTTAGGCAGAGCTCTGTGCAAACAGCACTGTAGCACTCTGCATTATAGAGGTGGCAGGCTTTGATACCGCTGGAGCAAAGACTGCCATTCTGTGGAAAGCTCTGGTACTTAGAAGGATGCCACGAACACGAATGAATGAAGGCTGAGAACCATGGGCCTAGAAGGAGGCAGGTAAGCAGGAATCAAATGCCACAGGGAGAAGTTTGCAGTTAAATGCACTAAAGATGGGAATGAGTGAAATCAGGAGGTTTGAAGCTTGAAGTGAGAGAGACTGAGGATGCTCTTAAAGATGCTCTCCATCCTTGTAGTTAGAAGTAGTCACCATTGACAAAAGTAAGAGTGGCGTCTGCTTAACTAAAAGTGTGCTGAAGGGTTTGTTTGCTTAATCTTCACAATTCTACATTGTAAGGACTATCAACAACCCAGTTTAGCTAGTATGGAAACTGACGGGGGCTTAGAGAAGAGTCAGTCAAAAGCAAGAGAGAAAGGCCAGTTCTCTAGTCAGGCAAGGAAAAGAGATGAGAATAGACTCAATAACTTAGTCATATTATTAGTGTCTCAGGGATAAACTAAAGCTAACTAAAGAAGCAGAGAGCTAGAGATGTGCTTCAGCAGCAGAGCAGAGCCCAGACACTGGGGTCCAGAACATCAGCACAAGGTCGTGGCTCTGAGTGGCTGGAAGGCCACTGCTGAGTTGGCTAGAGGAGAAAAAGGCAGATGTTAGAAGAAAGGACTGGCTAGAAGCCAGCAGAGCGACTGGGTCACTTTGGAGGGACAGGAAGGAAGGAGATAGTTGTTCTGGGTGGGAGTCACTATGGAGGCACAGGTTAGGACCCGATCAGATGACAGGCAGAACTCTGTAGGAAGCCAGAAGCCAATGATAGCATGCAGTGGGCGGAGGAGCCCGGCTTCAAGCCCTACTTCTGCTTCTGCTAGTGATGACCATCTGACCAGAAGCATAAGACAAATGTGCCAACCGAAGCCCTTGGCCCAGCCAAGTGATGTAAACACAGTGGGCGGGGACTGGAGGGTACATGACACTTGACCAGAAACTTCAGGAGGTGCCAAGTCCACGGGGACTGGCAGGGGGAGACAGAGTGGGGCGGTGGGGTCCAAGCTACAGGCTGGCTCCTCAGAAGAGCCATGGAAGAAAAGCGGACAGCTTCCGGTGGTCTGTGCAGCTGCGTAGGCCTTACTCTGGACACAGAGCAGGGCATTATTTTGTCCTCTGTCAGATACTCCCACGCAGGAAAAGGAAGCACCTTCTGTCAGATGCTGTGGCCACTTCCTCTTCAGAGGCCCCAGCCAATCTCCGCTTTGCAGCTCACAGGGCCGGAGGCAGCTGGACTGCAGGCGCTGGTCGATTGGGCTTCTTTCAGGAGGAGGGCCCCCGGCTCCTCTCTGGGGTGTGGGGGGCAGCAGGGCTTCCTCTCAGCCCCCCCCACCCCACCCCGCTCTTGACTCCCTGCTTCATGTCCCTCAGTCAGCCCGCCTGTCTGTTCCTCTCTATAGCTCGGTCAAGGAGCGTGATGACTGGGGAGCAGATGGCGGCCTTTCATCTACCAAGCACCCCCAACCCCCTGGAAAGGCCGATTAAGATGGGCTGGCTGAAGAAGCAGAGGTCCATCGTGAAAAACTGGCAGCAGCGGTACTTCGTGCTGAGAGCTCAGCAGCTCTACTATTACAAGGATGAAGAGGACTCCAAGCCGCAGGTACCTGCTGGGTGTGTGTCCTTGCTTCAGGTCCAGAGGAGCTGGGCAGGGGCCCCCTGGCTACTTTCATTTCTATAGGCCTCCTCAGTGGGGCCAGACACCTCCAGCTGGTGCTGCTGCCTTGTCATAGATTTTCTCTACATGCCCTGAGTGTGAAGAAACGTTCCCGCTGGCACAATAGGGTTCCTAGGGTACCCCAAGTCCAGTCTCACACCGTAACGGTGGCACTGAGATGGCAACCCATCATAGCAGCTCAGAAGAACTGATCTGGGACTCTGTTGTTGTTGTTATTGTTGTTCAATAAGTATGTCTTGGACAACTATTGTATTTAATGCCTCATGCATTCATGTATAAATATTCCCACACCAGTTACCTCCGGAGACATGTGAAGTAAATCAGTCAGGAAAGCAGGGGAAATATCTGCTGAACAGAGCAGCAAATAATCCCAACAGATAAGGGAAGCATGGAGTTGTTAGAAAAAGGATGAGTTATGTGAGGAGAAGAGGGTGAGGGGAAGTTTGGGAGACATGTTGCGATCTTTAATGGGGCAGGAATGCAGACTGACGTCATGCAGGTGGTGGTAATGCTAAGGAGAGGGGGTGCCAGGTGGGTCTCTGGGACAGGGGCCTCCTGGGCAGAGGAATGACCACCCACAGACTAGAGGAGCGTAGGTGACCTGTGTAGGAAGCACCAGGGGTTCCGGGTGGCAGGAACAGAACCAGTTCTGAGAACCAGAGGGGAAGAGGTCAGAGCAGTGAGGACAGGGGTGTGGGTGTTTAGGGGGCAGGTTGTGAGTGTCACTGCAAAGACTTGGGGTTTACACCGAGTGTCATGGAGAGCCACTGCAGGATCCTGAACAGAGGGAGGCAGGCAGTCTTCAGCTGGCTGTAAACAGATGGTTCTGTGTGTCCTAAGACAGACTGAAGTTTGGGTAGGCAGCACAGATGATATAGACAGCAGTCACAGTTCTAGGAATGTCAGAGGGGGCTGTGGGCCGAAGTTCAGCGGTCAGGTTCAGGGTATGTGGGAGCAAAAGGACAGCATCACACCTGAGGGGGCATGGCTTCAAGCCAGCTGCGATCCTCAGCCTCAGGCCGGTCTCTTCTCCCTGTCCCCTCTATTCTGATGCTCACAATGGGAAGTGAGAGTGTGAGAGGCCACCACTGGCCACGACTATGGGTTCCAGAGTATAAACTAAGGTCCCTAGCACCGAAAGATGCTGCATACCCACCAGGAGTTCACATTCGTGGTAATGGAAACAGGGTGGAAGAGCTTTACTAGAACTTACTACAGAAAATAGACTCTCAAAATTAGGAAGGTGAAGACAAGCCACATATGGATATTGGGGGTAGTTAAGCAGGTGAACAGACAAGCAGATGGGTGGAACCAAAATGAAACAGTCACGGAGACTCCGCCTCACTGGCTTTTGCGGACCTCTGAGTGTGGTGACTGGACTTCCTGTTCTTTATGAACAGCACAGATCTTATCAAGTCTGGCAAACACAGGACAAGATCACGGTGGCTGGTGCATCAGAGTGATGTGAGAATCCTCTGGGAGGCCACGCCGCTTCGGCCACCCCAAGCCCACCGAAAGGGCTGCTGGGTAGTGGCCGTCTCCGTGTGGAAAGGGGAAGGTGTCTCCCGTGGAGCACTGCGCTCTTGCCGGGGCTCCGCACTTAATCGCTACCTTTTCTGGATCCTCCCTTCTTGTTAATAACCAGACAACACTGCCGGGCCTGTGTTTGTCACGTGGTCTCATAGTACGAAGCCCCCATGAAACCCTGCTCTGGAAAAGCAAACCAGGGACAGCGGTTGTCACGTGTGAGTCCTGGCTTCTTCCCCGTGTGAGAAACTCACAGCTTCTCGTGATTCAATTGACCGAGGATGAGTAGGCAATTATGTTCTCGGTCCTCAAGGACAGTTTATTATGAAATCTGTGAATATAGTAATCAGACCAAGAGGCCAAGGGAGGAAACCACACAACCCCCACCCGGTGGCTGAAATAAAGAAACGGCTGATAAAACAACACACTCCTTTCAGATCTAAAAATACAAATTGTGGGGAGAGAATGGTTATTCCTTATAAAGGATGTGTTTTACAGCATGCTGCTCTGCATCTTTGTTTGTAAAAGCTGCACTTGTACACGGTAGGAAGTTTAGATCATCAGAAAAACACAAATAAAAAATTATTCACAATCCCATGTGAATAATAGCTGCCTAAATCGAGCATTCCCTGTCCACAGACACTTAAGAAGTTGTTCCGTACATGTGGGATAAGGATATCATTTCATAAAAGTGGCAACACATCACAAATACTGTTCCTTAGTGTTGACTGTTAGTCTAGAATGTAGCCAATGATCACGGTAAATAACATATTGTGCAGACGTTCTGAAACATAAGGTACATTTTTTGCTGTTGTTTCATGACAGGGTTTCTCTGTGTAGCTCTAGCTGTCCTAGAAGTCTGTCTGTAGACCAGGCTGGCCTTGAACTCACAGAGATTCACCTGCCTCTGCCTCCTGAGTGCTGGGATTAAAAGCATGTGCCACACCGCCTGGCAAATATTCTGAAGTTTAAAAAAAAATGAATTTCTTACTGTTGGAAATCTAATTGATGGGCACAGTATATCCCAAACCACAGCTGGTGGCTGTTCTATAACCTTCCTGCACTCTCCATCGTCTCACTCAAGTAAAGATCACTTCTATTTAGTGTTTAATGGGCGGGCTGGGGGCGGGTATGTGCATGTGAGTGCTGGTGTCCAAGGAGGCCTGAGGTGTCAGAGTCCCTGGAGAAGTTGTGGGCTACAGTGCTGGGAACCCAAATCGGGCCCTTTAGAAGAGAAGCAGGCACTCCTCCTAACTGCTGAGCCATCTCTCCAGCCCCACGTTACTCTTCTGAATACTAAATCATTTACCATGTGTTCGTCTAGTGTAAGTTCTAGTGATGGCGGTGCTTAGCAGCTGGCTCACACAGCGTTTGAATGGGCCATGATCTGCTCTCAGGAGCCATGCACTCTGCCTCTGCCCCATCTCCACTCAGAAGCCACCCAGGCCAACCGGCAGAGTTAGTGACAGTAGTTACACACAGCTCGGACCCTTCTCTCCCCGCTCTCCCACCTTTACCCCCCAGGGCATCTTCCTCTAGTCACCCCCTGTTTGCTTATGACGTCCAAGGGTCTCCCTGCACAGTGAGAGGGGAGATCTGCAGGGAGCATTCCGGTCAGTGTGAGTGACTTGAATTCTGTTGCTTCTTTGCGCCAAGTCTGGTTAGGAAGTCCTGATCAGGAATTCTGGATTCTCGCTGTCCAGTGTTCAAGTTCAAGCTGGAAACAATTAGTTTCCAGCTAATTCACCTCTTGAGGTCTCATTCCCTCACCTCTCCAGCTGAGAGAACAATCCTTCCTGGATTTCTCATGAGGATCTGCTTCACTTATCTATTTGGAGCAGTGATCAGGGTTTGTCATCCGGCAGGTGCTCAACAGATTACACATACATGCAGTAACACTAGTACTTTATCTTTACAATTTTGTGATGAAGTTATTTGGGGTATCAAGTGACAGTTTAGAGAGGTACCTCTGAAGGGGACTTCCCTTCCTAGTGGCATTCCTTCCTGTATAAAACGACATGGATTTTTTCTCTGGAGTGGCACTAACCCAAACTAGTACAGCAGCTATGTGATATTATATCGTGTGGCGAGACAGGTGGTCTCTGGACAGTGGGGACCTGCAGGTGACCGCACTAAAGATTGCAGAGGTCCTGCCGAGCTCCACTTCATAGACAGGGAGCTTTTCCTCCTTTCTCTTTTCTGCTCCTTCTTGCCATCTCCCTCCTCCCACCCCCTCCTCCCTCCCCTCTTCTCTCCCTCCCTCCCTCCCTCTCCTCTTCCTTCTTATTCTTTCCTTTTCTCTCTCAGACATCTTTATTCTTAGATCTCAGGAAACTTTCTTCTTCCAGGCTTCTGATGCTATTTTGGAAATGTCTTGAGCTTCCAATCCTTTACACGTTCACTGTTGCTGTTTTTTCTTTAGACTGTTTGGAATAGTGACAACTCAGGACCTGATGTCCTACCTTCAACCTCAGGGATGTGTTTATAAATCAGGAGTAACTAAGTCTGGAGAAATCAGCTGTGTCATTTAGCTCCCAATCTAAGCCACATCTGAATGGTGGAAGTGACAGTCCTTGCTGTGAGGATCTAGTGTGGGAAAGTCCAACGGGTTGCTGAAGTGTTGTGTGCATGCAGGGTAGAAGCTACTTGGCTCTCTGACGAGCTGTCTCCAGCCAGGCCCTTGTCCTGTTTTCCCTAGGCACCCAGCAGCTGTCACTCACCTCGGCCAAGGCCTGCATCAGAGGGATGCCCTTTAAACTGGGAGCAGCTCCCACGTCCCTCTGCTTGCTCTCCTCACTCTACTGTTAGCATCTCGTTTGTTTCCCCAAATTAACTGCTTCCTAGGTAAGAAATTGCTGATTACATAAAAAGCGTAACCTTTGATCTTTCAGGGCTCCATGTATCTACCAGGCAGTACAGTCAAAGAAATCGCCACAAACCCTGAAGAAGCTGGCAAATTTGTCTTCGAAGTTATTCCAGGTAGGTAGCTTGCATTTCTATCTCATACCTAGAAGTCAAGGTGACAATCCATCAATCAACCATGCTGTGAACTCATAGTGGCTCTTCATATAGTTAGTGAACATATCCCAGGAGATTAACTGGCGTAAGGGACACCCATGACAAGTTGGTGCTCATTTGATGCAATCCTGTGAGTGTTTCAGGAGTGCCTGGAGCCAGGAGTTGTAGCATGAGGCTCTGGGCCCTCACTGTGAATAGCCATCATCCATTTTCCCTCACCCAGATTGCAGCATACTACCAGTTTGTAGCTAGAGTTTTCCTGCCTGGCCCACAGTCAGGACAAATCTCTGTCACCTGCCAGTCTCACAGCTGCTCAGACCCAACCAAGTAAACACAGAGACTTATATTGCTTACAAACTGTGTGGCCATGGCAGGCTTCTTGCTAACTGTTCTTATATCTTAAATTAATTCATTTCTATAAATCTATACCTTGCCACGTGGCTCGTGGCTTACTGGCATCTTCACATGCTGCTTGTCATGGCGGCGGCTGGCAGTGTCTCCCTCCACCTTCCTGTTTTCTCAATTCTCCTCTCTGTTAGTCCTGCCTATACTTCCTGCCTGGCTACTGGCCAATCAGTGTTTTATTTATTGACCAATCAGAGCAATACATTTGACATACAGACCATCCCACAGCACCAGTTGAAATACATGTTGAACTGGGTGATACTGCCACGTGAATGGGTTGCAGTGGTAGAATCTCAGTGGTCCTTTATGTTCCAACAGGACCTAATGAGAAATGAAATTAGCCTTGGAGAACTTAAAACACTACAGGTGCTGGATGTCACCTGTGTGCACATGGGCCATATGCTGGAAGGTGCCTTTTCTCCAAGAAGAATATATTAGGAACAATGGGAATTTAGCACATACCCCTGTATCTGCCACTTTGGGGCTCCTCACTATCTCTTGCTCTGAGGCTGCCCCTGCCCAGCCAGGAATGATAGTAGTGCTATGCTGTCTGGTTGCCACAGCCCTGATCCTATCAGGGAAGGTCACGAGTTCCTAGACCTCTCCTTCTTGCTCACATAGACAGCCATGTACAAAGAGCCATGGGTAGAGAAGGAAGCATGGCAGAGGAGTAAAGTACCCTCTCTGGAACCAACCTCCCCACACCCAAATCCTGACCACGCCTCTCACTGTATAGCAGCCCCTCTAGTTTCTCCCTGATGTTTCTGTAATTACTTATCTGTAATGAGGACAATGATGACAGTGAGAATTACATGGAGATGTCTGGATAAAACATTTGGTGTGGTTCCTGGCATATAGTAAGTGCTATGCAGATGTTTGGTTTTGGGAACATCTGGTGGAAATCACGATGCAGAGAAAAATCCTAATGTTGGCTGACAATTTACACCAAAGAGAAGGAAAAATGAAGTCCGGGTGATTTCCTGGTTTCTCTTGTTTTCTAATCTGAAGATCTAGCCACTTCTTCCCACCATCCCAGTCATTCCTCCCATTTCCATCCAGGAAAATTCCATCAATTTCCCGCCTGAACTGTGATGTTCTAGGATCTCTCTTCCAATGCAACTCCTGGACTACAACCACCTACAACAGTGTGTCCCAACAACTGCATTTTCTACCCAGAAAGTTCCATGGAAAGTTCCCTGAAAGTACATTGTGGGTTTGCCCCATAAGCCCCCACCCTAGAAGACTGCTCTATGGGAGGAAAGGGAAGAGGCTGTCCCTCATCATCTTGCCCACATATATTGCCTCCTGCAGGAGTTCCTGGATGCTAGCTCTTCTCTCCCTCCCCCTCTCTCCCTCTCCTTCTCCCTGTTCTGTCTTTCAGTCTCTCTGTCTTTCCTTCTGTCTAACTCATTGTCCATCTGTCTCTTCCTGTCACGGTATCTTCCTCTACCCACACAGGTATATAGCAACCCTAAACTCGGAACCTCTGTTCCTACTGTTGTTTCCAAGGCTCCACTCAGCCTGGACTAAGCTACGTAAAATTTTCAGTTCATCTCTTTGTCCTCCCCTTGCAGAAGGTCATGCTGCCATAAGAAACAGGATTCCCAATCAAGGCCCTCTCTGCAGTCCCCAGGTTCAGGGCCACACAGTAGTGTGTACTTATTGTTATGCCTTTAACGTACAGCAGGCGACTGTTAAGGAAGGGCGTCCCTCTCTGCCTGACCTTTAGCTTGAGAACAAGTGTGTGGGGTTCTCTTCCCGTTGTGTAACACATCTCATTCGGCCTTCACACATAGCACTTTAGGAGACGCTGTCATTCATTCAACAGCAAATGTGTTGAGCATCTGCTCAGAGCTGGAGCTGTGTGAGGGCAGGCGGTCAAAGAACAGAAACAGCTACACACAGCTAACAATCCAGCCTCACACCAAATAGCCCTGGCGAACTGTTTCATTTTCCTGATGGGAAAATTAAAGCAAGGAGAGAAGACGTTCTGACTGAGGGGGGTGGGGGTGATTGCTTTGTCATTGACGGTGGAGCAGGCAGAGGATGTGTCCCTGAGAAGGTGGGATTGAGGTAAACTTAGGAAGATGCTAACAGAGAAACTTAAGTGTTTGGCTGGAGGAAGCCTTTCCGAGGACAGGGATGGTCAGGGCAGCATCCCCAAGCCTCTGTGTGCCAGAGAATTCCAAGTGGACTATGTGGTCAGGGTGACATGACTTTAGGAGTGGGGGATTGGATAGGTAGTTCTTGGCAATTATAAGAAACTGAACGTCTATGCCAAAAGCATGGAAAGCCACTGGGAAGTTCTAAAAACAGTGGCATGACATGGCTCATATTTAAAATTCATGTCACTTGGGAGTAAAATGTAAGTTATAGGGGTGAGGACAGAATGGGGATGGATATCAGTGAGGAGGCTTGTGCAGCAAGGCAATTCAGAGGTAGTGGCCAGAGGAAATGTTTCCCAGTGGAGTTTCTCATGGCAGAACCAAAGGGGTTCCTGGAGCCAGTAAACCAAGAGGTGTTTTGACAGTGCAGCAGACTCAAGTGTGCTCATGGCAGAGAAGGACGTCAGATAGATCCTGCCCATCAGGACGTCCATAGGGAGGAGGAGAGCAGCAGCCTTGCCTGGCATTTGGTCCCCAGTGGGTAGATACCTGGCATCTCTGGGCTTCAGTCCCAATAACCGTAAACTGGTAACGTCACGACTCCCCACTCCATCTCAAAGGGACCCTGTGACTACTCAGGTAGTTTTTAGTTCTTTCCTGAGCATTTATTGCTTTCAATTTTACCCCTGGAGATCCCACAAGAAAGGCTTTTATGGAGATGAGACCATGACAAGATGGATTTAGAATCAGCTCATCCCAAACTGTGAAAGAAGGCTTGGTGATGCCCAGTCCAGGAGGCCAGAACCAATGGGGTTGGAAAGCTGCTTTCTGCAGGAAAATCCAGGGCTAGGCCCCAGGACAGTTGGAATGGGCTCTCTCAGATGATGTGGCGTTGTAGGAAGAGGGGGCTTCAACAGCATCCAGTGATCGGAGGGATTACTGTTATGCTTGTCCCTTCTAACACCTTTACCAGCTAAAGAAAATTCTCTCTCTACAGATTGCTGCCCGCGGGGAGGTATAGGAAGATGTTAGGTTCCTTTTTGTCCCCCATTTCTTCTTTTATCACTTTTCCTCATTTTTTGTCCCTTCCTGTGCCGCCCCTTTGTCCTCTCTGTGTTTTCCACCATCTTTTTGCTCACTTGATACATTTAAGCTTTATTTAGTTTAAAGTGAGAATGGTAAACAAGGCCCTGACAATCTCCATGTGCCCCCTAACTAAGCATTGGAATCCCACCTCTGCAAGGCTCTGTGGCCCCAACATCTGTGACGGGAGACACCAGTTCTATGAGAAAGGCACTCCGGTACCCACGATCCCTCTTGCCTGGGGCTTTTGTTCCCTTCTGGATCTCCACAACTAAGCTCAGGCTGTCTTGGGAAGCATCTGTTGTGGGCATGGGGACCAGAAGTCTCCTTGAACGCTGAACTGAATGCTGCAGTTGCTCTTCCTGTCAGTAGCAAATGACTTCTGACCTCTGTGGAGGCAGCTCTCTGCCAAAGCCAGGGCAGCGGCGAGCCCTGTATTCAGTGACTTGTCAATAGAAATAAGCCATTGGCTAAAGCCGTAAAAGTGGACCGCGATTCGGGGCCACTGGGCAACGTTAGACAATACTTGACTCTCGGCGCTTCACTGAACTAAGAAACCAGGTTCAAAACCCTCCTCACTTCACCCCCCTCCCTTACTCCCTCTCCCGCTTCCCCTGGCTCAGGTTCCTCCCACTCTACAACCTCCCCATGTATTCTCTTTCCTCCAGCCTCATGTGACCAGAACCGCACAGGACAAGACTCCTACATCCTCATGGCCAGCTCTCAGGTAGAGATGGAGGAGTGGGTTAAGTTCCTCAGGAGAGTTGCTGGCACGCCCTCTGGAGGTAAGGACTCGCACGCACAACCGTTTCTGAGCAGGCCTCTTGGGAGGAGGAGGAAGCAGGCTCCAGACACCATCTCTCTCTGTGCCATGTTCAGAGGAGAGGATCAGAGACCTCTGAAGCCACCAGAATAGTCAGGTCCTCTGCTGAGTATGGGGGAAAGAGGCTCCTGGGGATCTCGACACCCTCCTAGCTTACCTCAAAGAGCCAACTCCAGATCAAATAGAATCATAGTGAGTCCTTTGCCTTGGCCAGCAGAGCAGTGTGATACCCCAAAGTAGGGCCTTCTCCACTTTAGCTAAAGTACTGTCTCTGAGGTGAAGAGGTTGGCTAGCTGACCTGGGTTCCTGGTAGCCTTAACTCTTACTGTGCCATGGGTATGTCCATTATGGATCCGAGAAGTCTAATGACAAGATGTGCAACCAAGGCTGGTCAGTACAGAAGGACAGCTGCCCCCAAGGGAGGGGAGGAGCTCTCCGGATCTTACAGATGTGCGGTTAACTCTGCAGTTAGTCTTTTCTAGGGTATACACAGTGTTTGAGGTCTCTGGGCATTCTAGTGATATTTTCACCCTTGGGCAACAGCCTGACTACAAAAAACAAACAACAAAAACCTGATGCAAAGTATGTATGAGATCAACAGATATGAGTGTAGCATGTTTTCTTCATTTCATAAAAATATAAAATAACTCAAATGGGTAAGTTCACAAAATACCATTTTCCAACATTTTAGGTAAATGAACTATTTGTGTTGACTCCAGGAAAACTATAAATATGTAATTAATTATTGATGTTGTCTCTTATTTAGAACTCATTTATGGGAGCATTCATGGTTAAATATTGATATGATTTCCCAACAGTTTCTTTCAGAAATTACAAGAATACCAAAATAATTTTATGTAAAATTGAAAAAAAAATTAGTCATTTGGGTTTAGAGCCTCTTTGTTCCAACCAGCGTTGTGTGTACATATATTTTTTTCTGAAAGATAAATGTAGAATGTATGACATTTTGTATGCTTTATAATTTAGTTATTCCATGTTATTATAAAATCTTTTTAAAAGTTTATTTTTATGATTTGTGCATGTGTGCACGCACGTGTGTGTGTGTGTGTGTGTGTGTGCGCGCGCGTGCGTGTGCACACACATACATGTACATGTATGTGGTGCTTGTGGAGGCCAGAAAACTGTGTCAGATCTCCCGGAGCCATAACCACAGGCAGTGGGCTGCCTATGGATGCTGGAGCCACACTCTCATCCTCGCATAGAGAGATGCCCTCTTCACTGCGGAACCATCTCTCTAGTCCCTGTTACAGAATCTTATTGAGTCATTCCAAAGACTGTTTTGATGCAGAATAGAAATCCTGTCCAGTGCTGTTAAGTAGCCAAAAGGGTTGCTGGGTAGATGCACTGGGGACAGGAACTCCCCTGGGCTCCATGGGGACAGGAACTGAGAAATGGAATTCTATCAGTTTCTCCAGGGCCATGCCTTCACCCAGTGGCTTTTCTTTGCACACTTGCCTGGTTCTGTCTAGCCAGCAGTCCCTCATACCCACACTCGTCCCACATATATCCTTATGCCAGCCAACGTCTCTGCCAGCACCAGCCCAGCCTCTGCAGCCGCATTGTTAACTCCTGAGAAAGAAACTCCACCTGGCTCAACTGAGGTCAGGATTCTGTCTGGGGACTTGGGTCCTGTGGCCTGCCAGGAGGGGCTTGGAGAAAGAAGCCATAGGATAGGAGTGTGTCTGCTGCCAAGGCTTTCATTAACATCTGCACCAATGCACAGAAAGCGCCATGGCTCCACTGGCTGTTTCCCAAGTCCTAAACACAAGCTTTTATTATGGTAACTGTGCCAAGAAGAAGGCTTTATTTATTTATTTTTAACATATGAAAGCTTGATCCTGTGTTATTTCCCCCTGGAGTGTCTTCACCACGACCTTCCTTAAGCCCCTGACTGCGAGATCAAAAGCCTGCTGAGACATCCTTTGCACAGTGAAGGGCTTCGGTCATTGGCAGGGGTCATGGGTGTTATCTAACTGCATCTGCTCTGTGCTCTCACTGGGCCCTGTGCCTTCTACCAGCCTGGATGAGTCTGGACATGCTGACTTCTGTCCCCATATTCAAAAGTTCCTCTTATCAAGCGCTCAGCCTCCACCCTGAGGAGGAAATTGAGTTTTAGTCCTGGGGGTTGGGGAGCACTGTGGACTTATTCAGGGAACGGTATTAGCTGTGGTGTGACGATCACTCATTGGACCAATGTGGCAATGTCACAGAGTAAACTAAGGAAAACCAACCCTTGGTGTCATTTACCCGAGACTGAAGAGTTCTGATCTCTCCTCTCGAACAAGGCTGCCCTCTCTATCTATTGAACAACCTAGCAAATAGGACATCAAAAAGGAACGAAGAACTCCTGTCTTGATCAAGCTTTTCTAGGGGTCTCAAAGGGAGGAAATGGTTTTTAGGGCCCTACTGACTCAGAACAGCACGCGAAGCCACAGCCAGTTAGGATCGGCCTGTACCTGCAGGCTGTTTTCGTCATCTTCTTTGGGCCCTTGCTGTCAAGGCCTGGCTGATCTCAGCAGATAGTCTTTAGTCTAGGAACCACATCTTATGTGCACATTCATTGTTCCCAGGCAGGGGCATGACTGAGCCTCAAAGGAGCGATACATGGCACCTCAGGAGTTCAAAGTACTGTAAGATGGATTAGGTTGCTTTTCTTAGAAGTCAGTTAATCTAAGCAGGCTGGGGACACAGTATGTAAGAAGAATGAGCACGTGGTTCTCAATGATCTCAAAGCACAGGATTAACTTGGTTACAGGTGAGGTAAACCTTTGATTTGTAAAGACAAGTACCATACAGCACTTCTTAGAAAAGTCGTTCCCACAGACCAAACACGGATTTCAGACAAGAGACCTTCACTGCAGCTGTGACATCGCTCCAGTTCTTCCCATGTTAATTGAGGGAACTTCAGACCCAAAAGAGTAGATGGCCACCCCCAGGAGGAGACCATCTGGAGAGGGCCAGGGCCAGAGCCAGGGCTCTTCGTACGGTGCCATCAGTGAACTGCAAGTGGATAGCAGGACGTACTCCCCAAACTGTGACGTCACTAAGACACACTGCCAGCTCATTCCAACCCTAGGGCAACTGTGCCTTTCCCATGCATAGCTCGACCACTTCTCATTACCCTCACCCCTCCATCTGGTCGCAAAAGAATCCCTCCCGCTCAAACCCACCACTAAACTTGCATATCTTCCCTCTGACAGATATGCTGATGCCATCCGTCAGAATGGGCCTGACAATGGTCAGGTCAAGTCCCCTCTGCTCAACCCTTTCCTACTTTTCCCTTCTCCACGTGAAAGCTAAAAGCTGTATACTGATTCACAATGCACACTGTCCCCTTAATTACCTCTTAGTCCTTGCTTTCTAAACCTCCTTCCACACCCACTGCACTCTAGCATTGCCAGCCTCCTCAGATACCACAGGCATGCCCCTGCCTTAGGGCCCTTGCACATCCTGTTCTCTGTTCAGAATCCTCTGCATGGCTTGCTTACTTGTGTATTGTTTGTTTGTTTGATTTTCTTGGGGCTTTTGCTTAAAGATCACCTCAGTAATTCCCTTCTGGGGCATTTCTGTTTAGATAAAGATATTTAGTAGCTGTCTTTATCTAGCCCAGCCCTCCCTATTCCTCTGTTCTTCATTTTTTTTCTCTCCAGCATGTAAACCCTTTGTAACTTTTGATAAATATTTATTTCCTAGTCCCCCTCACTAGGATAAAGTCTTCAATCTGCTTGGCAGGAATTGTTTTTCTCTGTGTCCCCCAGGATTGAAATAGTACCTGACTTGTGTTAAATGGACTGCTTAAGGAAGAACTCCTCCACAGCAGAGTCACTCTGGGTCGTTCTCCCAGATAACTCTTGCCATTGGCTGGTGCTCAGCCAAGAAAGGACTCAGTGAAGGGAAGTGCTCCTTCTAGAATTATTTCCCATGTCAACAGCAAGCCTTGTTGAAGTTCTTTTTGATCCAAAGACATCGTTAGGAAATCCAACGAAAGCATGGAAACTAGCCAGAATGATAGCTGAACTCGAAGAGCTTCGCCTTCCGCAGCAGGGTGTTCTCTGACACCTGTAGCCTGCCTGAGTGCCAGCGTTAAATGAGAGAAGCCACTCTGGGCAGAGCTGACACCTTCTCCTGCTCCTGTCACTGGAGAGGTGGCCCCAGGTCTCCTGGCTTCTCAGATGTTCCTCCCTTCTGGCAGACTCTGCATGGTCCTCACATCTCCTTGGGGAGAAGCAGCTTGGTGTTTTCTAGCAGGCTAGCTGTTTGCAGAGGAGCCCCTGGATAGACGGGCTAAGCATCAATACCCTGGAAATTGGGGATGTAACCCCAAAGTCTTGCCAAGTTAAGCAGGGAAGGAGAACGGAGGCAGTCAACTTCTAATAGCTCATCCCAGGCCTCAATTCTGGTGTGTGTGTGTGTGTGTGTGTGTGTGTGTGTGTGTGTGTGTGTGTGTATGTGTGTGTGTATTCTCTAGACCCCTCTCCTCTGCATGGAGACCACATCCGCAAGTCCTCATGGGGAAATCTGGTTTCTGTCACCTAGGAACAGGCAATCCATGCTGCAGATGGCATCTCTGTTGACTGTTTGCCTTGCCCTCTGGATGCTTGCTCAGTGGCTCCTGGACCCAGGAATTCTGTGTTAGGTTTCATCCTTCCCTCTGATACTCCAGTCAGAAGACAGGGTTCAGCTTCTTTGTTTGGTTTCTTTGTGGATTTGCCAACACAAGGCTTATGCCATGTAAATATTAACTTATTGTAAGCCTCAAGGAGTTTTTCCTTCATCTGCTCTTTTATTTCTTTATGCCCTTCAGAACATGGTTTCACAATCCACAGCACAGTGCAGCTATGGGATGTGCCATCCCTTATTCTGTGCGGCCTAGTCTTTCTTTCTAGCTAAGCCTGATAACTTTTATTTATTTCTACCAACTCTCTCATCTCCCCTTCCTCT